AATTCAAAAAGTGGTAAATCTTTTTAAAAGATATTCTTATTGGAAATATATAAATAGCAACTACATAAAGCTCTAATTCATGGTCAAAGAAGGAAAACTGAATTTAAATTCAATCCATTATTTTTCAAGATCTAATGATTTGAATTGATTTCCTTACGAAAATATGTTAGGTGTAATTGTAATTTCTTATATTTGAGTGTAGTAAATTATATTTGATAGAAAAGTTGGAGAAAAAAATATAATAAGTACATATTTGACTGCCCGTAGGACTACAATATGAAGTCACTAGGACAAATTACCTATTGATTTCACATTCAGAAATCTCTTTTTTCCTCTTTTTCGGTTTAAAACTTTTAATTATTTCTGCACATGTATTGCTATTACAATATTTTGTCTGCTCGTAAGATTCTTTGGTCAGTTATTAATTGTTGGATAGGCTTTTAAAAGTTATTTAGCTCTCTTCCGGATACATTTTTACAGAAAAGTTCGATTTTCTTCTCTTATATTTTTGTATTTGATATTTATTTATCTGATGAATATATTTATTTATTCTTTACTTTCTTTTCATCTTTTCTTGAGCCGAGAGTCTATCGGAAACATGCTCTTTACTTTCTAGGTAGGAGTAAGGTTTGCGTACGCACTACCCTCCGCAAACCCCACTTGTGGAATTATACTTAGTTGTTGTTGTTTTAGATTATTTTTAATGTGCCATGTATTTTATAGTTCTTGTAAATTTTTTATTGGCATGATGACATAATCCTATTAATTTATTATCTAAGCTTTAATTATTGATTTAAACTCCATGTTTTTTAGTATTTTTATGTTTGTCTGTAACTTTATTCACATATTTGATATTTAGTACATATTGTTCTCATGCCGGTTTTGGTTGGATAAACTTTTTGGAGATAAGAATAAACAGACGACTCAAAAGAAGGGAATAAAATGGTGAGAATAACCCTAAATTTTTTGCCCCCTAGATTCATTTTTCTTATTCAAAAACTCAAATTTTCTAGATTGCTTTTAAAATTCCCCCNACTCCATGTTGCTTAGTATTTTTTATGTTCGTCTGTAACTCTATTCACATATTTGATATTTATTTATATATTATTCTCATGCCAGTTTGGGTTGAATAAACTTTTTTGAGATCAGAATAAGCAGACGACTCAAAGAAGGGAATAAAATGAGATTGAAATGGTGAGAATAACCCTAAATCTTTTGCCCCCTAGATTCATTTTTCTTATTCATAAACTCTAATTTTCTAGATTGTTTTCTAAATTTTTGCCCCCTTGAATTACAACAATTGAAAATGTAATACAAGCTAAGGTTAGTATATATGAAAATTATCGCAAATATATCAACGCTAAATTGATAAGAAAAAAAAAATACAAAATCAGAATGAAGTATCTCTAGTCAAACACATTGTTCTTGCATATATATTCACTTGACGCGAGGCACACGTGCAACGCACGCACGTACACTAAACTAGTTTGTATTAAAAGCAGTACTTTCCTTTGTACCTTACTCTTCCTATTTATTCACACCTTATCTATGGAGACTAGCTTAAATGGAACAATTAGTGAAACTTAATATAGTTAACTCAGAACTTGCTTAGAATTGAGCGAAACTGTTGGTGTTGCTGCAGCAGCAAAGGTCTATTTGCCCCTTCTTCTAAAGAGGGAAAAGGATGAAATTACCTTCCCATTTGTCTTTGCACATTATGTAAGCTTTATATTGGTCTTATAAACATTAGTTTTAATTGATTTTTTTTGGTTCACAATATTTGATTTTTTCAGATATCAAGAAGGAATTAACTTCTTTTTCCAAAGTTATCCTTGGAGTAAAGAATCTGTGAATATTTATTATATTTTCATTGAACAAATTAAGGGTAATATGGTCAATTTAATTGTTAATTAATGTTAAAATGTGGATTCCTTAATATGGGTAAAAATAACCAAAAAAAATAATTAAAGTTGGACGGAGGGGGTAACTAACTAGATAGATATCCCTCACCAATGTGTCTTTAGTCTTTACTAGTAGAACTCGGGCCTATGGCTCATTTCATATTTGTAACTACTGATATTCATAAAACCGTCAATATTCTGATGACAAATTCACCAAAAAGCAAACTATATAGGACCATTTACTATATGCGACTCTTTAAGCATTTTATGTAACTAAAAGAATAGCAACCTACAGACTTAAGGTTATATATTCAGTAATGATCACTAAATCGAGCAACAATCTAAACGACCAAAGAAAGAAGCTCACAGGCCACAGCTTGTTTGATCGCCGATTCTGCCCAAAATCTAAGGAACTCTTTAAATCAATGTTCCAACAGACCCAAAACGAGCAGACCTCTTCAACACAGTTCTAAGAGAAGCATCTTGTGTACATATATTGTGACAAATCAAGTTAAGTGTCTTCCTTCACGAGACAACTGATGATGACGAAGAGAACCTGTTTCTTTTACCTCACCAAAAAAGGCACTTTCATAAAAATAAATAAATACATAAACATCAGATGCAGCAGCAAAATTAGCAGTAGCTTCGAATTTCCCCAATAAGGAATGAATTGGATTATATCAAACCACAGCGTCGTAAAGAGGACTTGAATAAGCAAAGTACAGTTGGGCATATGAAAAATAATAATGAATAACAGAGATGAGACATGAACCCCTTCCTATCAAATACCTCGGTTGTCCTATATATTCTGGTAGAAAAAGGTTGTCTACCTTTACAGGGATGGTTAGCAAGGTGATTAACAGGATCAAAGGATGGCATTTAAAGCTACTTTCTTATGGAGGCAAGGCAATTCTTATCAGGCATGCCCTGGATGTCCATACATGGGCTGCAGTCCATCCAACCAAGGGTACTATCGCCACAATTGAGAGGTACTTAGCTAGATTCTTCTAGTCTGGGCAAGAGACTAGTGACAGATACCATTGGTCTGCATGGTCCAAACTTTGTTTTCCATATGAAGAGGGAGGGGTTAATTTTAGAAAATTGGAGGATGTCTGCAAAGCCTTCACAACAAAGCAATGGTGGAGGTTGAGAATCACAAACTCCTTATGGTCCCAATTTGCCAAAGCCAAATATTGTAGAATCTATCGTCCACTGATTAGTCAATGGACAGCTGGCAAATCCCATAATTGGCAGGCTATGTGCAAATTGAAATATGAAGTAGAGCATAACATCTTATGGAGAGTTGGGAGAGGTAATAGCAACTTTTGGTATGATAATTGGACCAATTTTAGTCCTTTGTCTTCCAGCTTAGGCGAAGATGTCGGGTATGACAATACCAAGGTCAATGAAGTATATAAGAATGGAGTATGGGACTGGTCTTGCTTACATATTCAGCCTCCTGAAGCTGTTAAGACTTTGGTAGCCACTGTTCACATCACAATTGGCCAAGAAGAGGATGATACTCCAATCTGGACAATTACTACTTCAGGAAAATTCAGTGTGGCCTCTGCTTGGAATGCATTGAGACAAAGAAATGATCTTTGCTTCTTTTGACTCTAAGTTATGGCATAAAGATGTCCCATTTAAGATGTCTTTCTGGGCTCAGAGAGCTGTCCATGGAAATATCGCAACAAATGAAAGGATCACGAGGTTTGGGATTTCCCTAGCCTCTAAATGTTGTTGGTGCCATTCTCCCGGAATGATCCCAGGCGAGGAAACGTGTGACCACTTATTTTGTCAAGGACATTTTGCACAACAAGTGTGGGCGTTTTTTGCTGGAATGGTTGGAATAGCTCATATGAACATCCCCTTAAGAACTCTGTTTGCTAACTGTTGGAATCATAAGTCCAAAAACTCTGTCCCTGCATTTGTTTTCCAAATTATGCCTCCTATTGTTGTATGGGAGTTGTGGAGGTCAAGGTGCTGTAGCAAAAATATGAAATGGAGGGATCCAAATGCCTCATCACTTTTAACATTGCCCAATTAGTTAACTCTCATTTTGGGAAGCTAACTGTTAACAATAATTGGGAAGATATTGTAGAGGTGGCCGGGTGATTAGAGACAAACAAACAAACAACAACCCAGTAAAATCCCACTACTGGGGTCTGGGGAGGGTACTGTGTACGTAGACTTTACCTCTACCCCGAAGGAATAGAGGAGCTGTTTCCGAAAGACCCTCGGCTCAAGAGAAATAAAAAGAAAAAGGACACAATATTAGTTTCACTACATACTTATGGCTTATGCTATACCAATGGGTCAAGGAACAAATAACTTAGCAGAAGCAGAGGCCCTTCTTTTTGGCCTAAAATAGTGCATTCAACAAGGATATATGAACTGATTATTGGTAAAATTGATTCCTTGCTACTTCACAATTGCATTCAAGGCAAATGGTCCACACCATGGAGAATCAACCGTGTTGTTATGAAGGTACAAACGCTGGTTGAACAAAAAGGTCTAATCATTAAACATTGTTTTAGAGAAGCAAATCAAGTTGCGGACAAGATAGCTTCTCTAAGTCACCAATTAGAGGAAGTATATATTTTCACTTATTTTGATACATTGCCCCGACAGGTCAAAGGGCTTCTAAATGTAGAAAGATGACAAATTTCAGCATTCCGAGTCAAAAAGAGAAGACCAAGTACCATAGTGTATGAACCACCATGAGTTCTCGACTTTATTACCGATTGGCAGGTCGGTTTGGGGATAATCCCACCAATTCTGTACTTATTGTATGAATTTGCTGTGTCAAATTCTCAATCCATATAGAAGGCCAAGCTATACCCTCCTTCAAATTGTATCTTCTGCATTGCAATGGTAATAAAATCGTGCCTTGGAGTTCAAAGAAATAAATAAAAAAAATACCAAGACCTTTAGTACACCAACACAATACCTCAACCAGAGAACACGACCTGACCTTAACGTGAGTATCTCCAAGACATTGTAACACCTCAGAGATGGACAAACAAATTACCC